GAAACTAGCAAAGCTGCAGCACCGGTGACTAATAAGTCATACCTACGGCAGACGACTGCTCAGACATCAGCGGGCAGCGTAAGAGGTGTTATCCTACCGTACCCAATTGTCGAGCGGTGGAGGTCCGGCCGGTCATGCGCGGGAGGCCTACGGGAAGACGCCGAACTAGCGCACTGGCGGAATTGCCGCTGTCAGCCGGCCCTGTGCCGGAGGACGGCGCAGCCTGACCAGCTGGCTACCACCTGCTGGGGAGGACCCGGCGGCCGGACGGTGATGAGTCTTTCGGCCACGTTTGGAGCGTCGTGAGCGCTCCAAATTGTAATACAAACAATTTTCGCAAACTTTTGACTTTGTCTGAAAATATCACCGGCGCAGTTCGCACAGTTTCGGAGCAACAACCCGCCGACCGAGACAGACTCACATACATCCATACATAGTTTTACAGTTTTATAATAGTAATTTAATTTATGAGAGTGAAAAAATAACCTCACGTTCATTAATATAGAAATGAAAATTGTTAATCCAGAATATATTTTCGTGAATGTCATTTCGTCGGTAGATTAACATGCAGAATTGATGGGCTGCTAAGCAAAGTGTTTCGCATCCTCCGTGTCGTGAATGTCACCGACCGAAGTGACATTCACGAAAATATTTTTTGGATTAACAATTTTAATTTCGATTGAGCATGAGGTTATTTCTTTTCACTCTTGTAATGTGTACTATGCTGAAAACAACGGTAAACTTTATTAAACAATAAGTAATTTAATTAGATAAAACTCATCTCGTCCATCAGCACGGAAGTGCCAAAACCACAGCAGCACACTCAAATTGCCAGATAGCCAAAAACTCAGCAGTTACAGGAAAAATCCGTTTTGTCCATTCCATGTCGTAGACTATATATTCCGTGATGTTACCAAACCCATCAACCATGGCAACTACCACAAATGTAAATTGAATAATCACTTACAACACGGCAGTGGGCTAACTAGCCAAGGCTTCTACAGTCTAAAACTTTAAAATTAAGTATGGAGCACAGCGTCAGCAAACCGTACCGTAAAAATACGGGAACTTATCAGTCACTCTGTGAAAGCTAAGCCCGATACATCACGACGAAGTCTAATTTGCCGTCCGGCGGCACTTGTTATTTGAGTCAGCCGGTCGCTGCGCGGTGCTCGCAGCAATTCAACCCGGGCCAAGGGTGGTATTAGACGCTGTGTAGTGTGTGGCCATATGAAATATATAAATTCCCAGAACTTGGTCAAGCACAAGTCTTGTGGTAGTTCTAGTCACCTAATCGGAGGCTAGTTGCTAGAATAAAAACATCTTGTTCATGTTCCGAGGCGGGAACGGTTGGCAGCCTGCGGAAACCACGCTCAATAACGATGCACGGTTTTATTCGTTTCAATAGCCAGCTTAGTGAATCAAATTTAGCTTTGGTCATTGAACAGAGGTATTCCACTAGCTGTTTTCTGGCTAGCACAGCTAGCTAGCACTAGCTGTTTCCACTAGCTTTAGGCGCGCCCTAAAGCCCCAATAAACAAACAACAAATAGCTGTTTTCTGGCTATTTATATCATCACAAGCCTTAGCCTATTGAATGATCGAAAGAGATGCTTGATTACTTTGCTCAAGTAGATACGCTAATGATTCAAACGTCATCTTACGTAGCACCACCGGGTACTGAGCTCAGAGGCACAGCTTAGCTGTCAGGCGCCCACTTCTGCTAGCATTTAATGGCGCGAATCACAAACAAGCCTTGCGGTGCAGCATACCCGTCAGGCGTCTACTTCTCCTGCCATCTAGTGGCGATATTCAGCAACTAGCCTTGCGGCGCAGCATACCCATCAGGCGTCTACTCTGCTGCCATCTAGTGGCGCGAATCAACAACAAGCCTTGCGGCACAGCATACCCATCAGGCACGTATTACTAGAGCCATCTAGTGGCGGGAATAGGAAAGTGCCAAGCCTTGCGGCGCAGCATACCTATCGGTCGTCTACGTCTACTGCCATCTAGTGACGAGAATGAGCAGTAAGACTTGCGGCGTAGCATACTCGTCAGGCGTCTACTTCTGCTGCCATCTAGTGGCAGGAATTGCCAACAAGTCTTGCGGCGCAGCATACCCATCAGGCGTTCATTGCTTACTTATTCCGGCGGCGCCATTGCGCGCTATGCCCCAATGCATGGCGTAACTTCGCTTGAATGTAGAAGCATTTTCTGATCATAGACCTTTTTTAGCGGGAAAGAGCCTGGAACGATTTAACCTGACGTCTTTCTCACAGTACCTGCGACGAAACCCAACAACCAAACTACGTGGACCTGACAACTTCATTGAAGTGATCATGAATTATTCGCGGATTATGAATGAATATTCAAGAGCATGGAGCAGCTTTGTTTGAAGAGGAAATATTAGCTGATGGCTGGAGACCAAAATGAACGGATGTTTGTCATCGGATCGATCCGTAGGCCTAGTGTCTAAAATATCGCTACCATGCAGGCTTTGTGCAATGTGCATTGTGCATGCTTTGTGAAAGTTTGCCGGATACGTGGAAAGTCTGCTGTAGTGAAATGAAAAGAAGCTGCGCAATGTGCTTAAAATACCGTAGTATTTTCTTGTGCCAATCATTCAGCCAAAAATACTTTCCCTGACAGAAGACTGAAGAACCTCCACTAATGCATTAATGTCATTCCATTTTATGTATGCGCTTGGCTGTGACATTTACATCCTTTTCAGTATATGTTCGCTGATATAACATTCAAAACCACCGTGCAACATATGCTGCTCAGAATTCTTCACCAGACCAAAATATTTTCATCAAGTGAGTTACATTAAATAGCACGCTTTATGCACGCGTGTGTGTTACAGACCACAAATTACAAGCCTCGTTTTACGCCGCGCGTGGCGTCTTCTCGGTATCAAAGGCAAACGTTCCGCCAGAAAGCGTTCGTGTTGAATACGCAATTATGCAGCTGTCTGCGAATATAAAGTGCGTCATCTAGCCTCCAGCGGGGTGGCTGAACCACACAGCTCGCTGCCGAAAAGTGGTTCTAGTGCGCTCAGCCGCAGAAATGGCCCTCGCTACTGGATCACCCATTTGTATGCGTTACGGATACCGTAAAAGATATGACATGGTAAATATAGCCGGTACGGATATGGATGTGCTCGTGGTAGATATAGGGACATGATAGTTGATGATGATATCATTGGTAATAGTGCTTATAACTGTTTATTAACAACTAAACCTTGCTGTGTTATGAAACAGCTCAGTTTACTCAAGCAATAGTACGAAGTGTGGTCAAGTTACTTTTCTCCCTTTGATCGAATTACATCTTCTCGGTTTTCAACTCAAGCAACATTGATGCGCATGGATGCTGGATGCCCACATGTGACCGTTAACCCTCGCCCCGTTGGGGGGGCCATTTTGGCCCCCCCCCCCCCTGTGGTTTTTCCTGAATAGCAAGAAAACTGCGGCGCGCAGCGCCGCCAAATTTTCAGTACCTTTCCGGGCATCAATTTGACACCTTCACACCAAATTTCAAGTCTTAGGTCACCTTAGGTCAGGAGTTATTGAGGTCAAACTGAGGTCATGTTCGAGCAAAAATGAGCAAAAAACATGCAATCTTGAAACGCTCACCAAATCTACAGGTATCAAGCAATTTCAAAGTTCTTTATATTGTGTAGTAGACAAAAAGCGGCGCTACAAAACTGCTATCTCGGATTTTCAAAATTTTTGGTTTTTGACCAAAAAAAATTCAAAAAATTGATTTTTTTAGAAAAACTTTGAAAAAATCCAAAAATTTTCCGAATTTCGAAAAAAACCGGAATATATGTGATATTCCCAGCGCTCTTCTATATACATACCAAATTTCAGATCGATATCTCGTTTTTTGGCCAAGTTATAGCGAAAAAACTGTTCAAAAATGATGACGTCAAATTTTTGAACTCAATTTTTAGCAATTCTAGACAACGTACGGCAAAACAAAGACCACCATTGAACTCCCCGTGACGAGCTGCATCGATTCGATACCCATTTTATGCAAAAATATTAACTTTGAAATTTGACCTAATTTGACCTGACCTTGACCTGACCTTGACCTGACCTTGACCAAAACGTGATCTAAGCTGGCCCCAAAGGCTGCCTGACCCATATAATCGCATTTGTCATGTAAAATGGACCATAAAACATGTATCACACGACACTTTCATATTGTGACCCCCCCGTGACCTGACCTTTGTGACCTGACCTGGTATCAGTGACCTCAAATAGCAAAATATGTGTTTGAAGAACATTTCCCCATCGATGATTTTCAATGAAATGCATTTTACTCGATTTTACAACGCATTTCTTGAAGTGCCTGTAAACGGTGAAAATTGGACCTTTGACCTGACCTGTGACGTCATCGGTTTGACCTAGGTCAATAAAATTGGGTCACTAGGTAGTTCCCCGTTGGGGCTATCCAACGCCGTTTACCGCTTGTCGCTATGTTGCGTGGTTCTCGAGATCTTAGGGGGGGGCCAAAATGGCCCCCCCCCAACCGGGCGCGTTGCTCGGCAGAGCCCAACGGGGCGCGGGTTAACAGCGGTCACAGACAAGATCACAATAACAAACACGCCAGAAATGTCAACCGTGCATTCTACGTTGATGTGGACATTTTATGTGATCATAAAACCGGTCATCACGGCTGATTGAAACTATCAAAGCTGGCGGGGGTGTAACCTTCAGCTGACCGTTTATTTGCCCACCGGCAGATAAGTAGCCAGCTTCCGAGGAATCTCATTCAGTGCCTAGAGCTGTTATGCAAAATTGCGTTTGAGAAAAATGTTTCCATACCTGCAGAGAAAAATAACAGTTTGAATCTCAATATTACTTACCTGCAAACAAAATTAATCATTTTTTTTCAATAAGAGTTACAGGAAGTGTACCTACTGTAATTTGAACTTCAAATCCAGGTATTATGCTGTCTTTAATAAAAACACGTCACATTCAGGGCGTGTTTACTTACCAGGGTCTGATACATGTGCTTATATTTCTGGGTCAGCAGACATCCGCCAGCCTCTTCGTTATATTCGTACGTGGTGGGCCAATTGTCCTGGCAAGAATATTCAATCGCGTTCTTCCACTGAAAAGAAAAAAGAAAAACATGAAAGGGGCTTATATTTGCCCTAAAATAAAATGCATTGCTAACGTTTTTGATAAACCGGCTCCAATAATCGTAGAACGTAGCAAACTATGTACGAACCTCGTCTCACCGTGTGGTTGTTTTTTTTTCGACAAAAGCGAGAATAGCTTGAAGGCTATGTCATCAGTTGATTGAAATGATAGCACAGAGATGCGCCATGATCCACGCTTTTGATTAGGTCTGTCAGTAAAGAAATGAACCGACAAGGCAGCCAGCCAAAACAAACAGCAGCCAAAAATGGAATTTTGTGAGGGCGGGGGCAGACGGAAAGTCTTTTCTAATTGCCGATGCGTAAAATATCAAAACACACTTCTACTTGCCGCGCAAAAGCAAATAATCTAACAAAGACATGTATACCGGGTGGCCCAGAAAAAACGTTCCCAACTTTAAATCAATATTTCTCAGAAAGTGATAAAGATACAACATTGAAACTTCGAATAGTCAATGCGGCACACATTTTCAGTAAATGGTGTGATTTTCATAGTGTTCGGTAAATTACTTTTTAAACGGTTCGTGTTTCAAGCATACCATGTAAAAATTACTTTTTTGCTCCGATGTTTACTCAAAAATGTGAGTGAACAGGTCACTTTCACCCCTCGGCACCACGGCCTAGAGCCATGGCTGCTACTGGCAGCTAGTCTCATTGATGGTTCGGGTCTCAGGATGACACATTCCATCAGGCAACCACGATGGCTCTGTGCCAGTGGCATCGGAAGAAGTTTCCAGTTTTCTAACCATCTTGTGGCTCAAATGCTTTCCTGGCTGACATTCCTGGGAAAAGGTAGCTTTTCAACCAGTTTTCTTTTTTTGTCATCTGCTGGCAATGTTGTTTTTCATAAAATGTTATGTGGTCTTCTGGCACAGGAACTAGTCTTTTTTAGTTTGTTTTCCTTATCCGGTCGATTTACTGTTTGATCTACTGAAAGGAGGGTAATCAGCAGTAATCCATGCACCGTGCCACGGATCATGATTTGGTGTTAAAACGAATGGCATCCATGAGCACCATTTTGGCTCAGTATTTGAATATTTGGCACATAAGTGAGACACAAATATTTAAAATAAGAACATACGTGTTGGTTTCATTCACATGCTCTATTTTTCTATTCTTTTTTATAACATGGGGCGTCTAACCCAATCATCACTATCGTTTGACATCGGCAAAAAAAGCAAAAACATCTTGCTTAATTCAACTCAAGATTGCCAGCTTGAAAATGGTGGTATAGTGTTATAATTTAGCATACCAATGCGCAAAGAAATGACGCAAACTTGCTGAAAGTTTTGTCTCGTTATTTGCACTCAAATTTGATATATAGGCCTCCAAAGTTCGGAACGTTTTTTTTCTGGGCCACCCGGTATATGTACTTCAGCAACATCCTTGACTTAATGGTAAGATAAATTATAGATAAGTAACATATGTTACTTATTCTAAATACAGGTCAGATTATAATTACGATAGGGTATCGCTAAGATAGAATGGATCAACAAAAATTTCGTTCAGTGGCCCTGATCCATCGAAAGCCAGACGGCTGAAATGAAATAAGTAAAATGAAGCTCGATTAACTTCTCCCCCAATTATAACCAGTAAAACGCCTTTTGGGCGAAGAACGAGCGAGCGAGATAGTGAGCCCTGCACGTGCGGAAGGGCGAGAGGGTACTTCCAACGGGCTTGCGCAAAGCACCCTTCTAACCGGTCGCTAGCGGTGTGCCAAATTTGAACGCAATCGGCCCAGCCGTTCCTGAGATCTGGAAGCGGCATTCTGCACGTGCGCACGTGCAAGTGGGGTCCAAACTGACTTTTGCACGGCACCCTACTAACTGGCCCCAGCCGTGTACCAAATTTGAGCGCAATCGGCCCAGCCGTTCTCGAGATCTGGGAGCGCCCCCTGCACGTGCGCACGTGCTGTAGCACCCCAACCTTAACACATGCAGATGAATTATCTGATGAAGACCTAACTGTGTACCGAGTTTCAATTCAATCGGCCCAACCGTTGAACCGTTATCGAGGTTGCAATTTTGGGAGTTCTTAAAAAATGTCCAACTTTACCACGCGCCACGTGCGGTGGTTGGCAAGAACGCATGGTGGCCATCACACCACAGAACTTTTACGTCCAAGTGACATTCAGTAAAGAAGACCGCTTGTCAATCGGATGTCCCGTTCCTAAGATATTAGCTTTTGAAGAGTGTCCCCACGGCCGGCCGCTCATATTAAGGATGTTCCCTTAATTCAGTATGAACTCGCTCGCTCGCTGCGCTCGCTCGCTCGTAATCATCAAAGATAGTATTCAAGTATCAATACCTACTTTTATTAAGTGTGCTGTGTTTACGTCTTTGGGCAATGGCTTCTCGCGGATTCAAGCAAGGCCGGCAAGTAAATGATATAATTCACTAATTCAAACGAATGAGAAGAGTCGAGTGCTACGTCACGCCTGTTTAAATCACATTGGCAAAGTTCAGTGCAAATGAAGCCCGTAGTTTATTCTTTATGCACCGTAGACCAGAATTCAAAATGAGCTCATCGTTTGCCCATTGTTGCCAATGGCGGGGACTAGCCTGATCATGAGTGCCTTCTGACGTGTAGAGCATCGCGCTACTTTGTGTGGATTTCCGAATTAATGGTATGATATCATTAACTCTAAATGAAATTTGAATTTAAATTATTTATCAGAAAATAATCAAAGGCAACTAGCGAAACTGATATTTTGTCAATGCAAGAAGCAAATGTTGCTGCAGCATTGTTGAAACGTCTCACTTATTGCACTTATCAATCAGCAGATTGATATTTGTTATTTTGATAATACTATAAGTTGTGTTTACAACTAACCAGCCGCCAACCCACGAGCAGATAATTATCCTTAAGCTCCTCTTAGCTAGTGATTTTCACCTGGTTTCACTATGACTACCACCGGAGACTTTATTGGATTAGCCATTGTCAGGGAAATTAGATAAGGTTTCGCTCAGAGCTGCTGAAGCTTTTGCACAGCAACAACTTTGTTCAACCGCACCGGAAATTAAAGCGTCGGCATCCGACTCATCAACTGGCTACGTCACTGAATCTCCTCCGTTACTGGTCCGACACAGTGGCAGCTCGGCGAAAGCGATTAGAACTGCTGACCGAGGGAGGGGAGTCCCTCCCTTGGCAACATGCTCGCGACAACAGGTGTTTGAAGAGGCTAGTTTGAAAAGTGAAATTGCCTACGTTGGCTTGTCAGTTACATAAATTGTTTCAGCTGCTGTTGAAATTAAGTTTGTATCATTTTGGGCTGATCAAAAAGGTAAATTCTGGTAAGCAGGATTGATAAAAATGAGTGTCTAGTTCTTGCGCTCTTCTTATGCTTTGAAATTCTATAAAGCTAGTTCTGGTTCGGACAGTGCTGTTCTCAGTGATCTGTCTGAACGAAAGAAGAAATGGCCTTTTAAAATGATGCTCTGTCCAAGGCAGGCTTTTACTGCAGTCGCAAAATTATCTAGCTTTAGTGTCACCACGCGATTCGATCTGAAGAAAAGTCGCTTGTGTAATATGCTAGAGCTTCAATCATTATTGTGCGGTGCGTGCGGTATTAGATTAAAATATGCCTGTGATTGAAGATTGAGGATACCCTACTTATTTTTATCAAAAATGAAACGCGAAGGTTTGTGTTTGAATCCAGAAACAAAAGCAAAGGGTATATAATATTGAACCGTATGTTTCCTTGCCTGTTTCTGTAGCAAAAAACAAAAAAAAAGAAGAAGAAGAAGAAAGAGAAAACCGCTGCGGCCTAGGAGTAATAAGAGCATTATGAACACGTATGTAGTTAAAAGCAAAGACAACAACTGATAGGTTGAAGAGTCATAAATCGAATTCGTTTAAGCTGATTGAAACCCACTTTACATCTATATCATCCAGTGACATTCCGTGTCTTCTCCACAGTTTGCCAGTCATATCGCCAGTCTCCCCAGCTCCTGCCCCCCCCCCCCCCGTTCGATATCGTTATAGATTGGCTGTCGCTTCGGTCTAGGGTAGTCTATTTTACGGCATATGGCCCACTAAGTGGGCCCAAGTAAACTTGGCAAAGGACCAAGCTGGAGGCAAGGCTGGAGTTAAAGTTTGCAGAGCATTAGATAAAAGTAACATAAAACCGTCGTGAATTTCTCTTGGAAAGCTGGTGTTTCAGAAAGTCTGTGACAAACGACACAGTAAAAAAGTAATAACCACTTGGTTTCGAGTCAGAAGCCACTTTCCGTGTCATCCCCAGGGTGCGCAGACACCTTTTGTAGTGGCGAATGAAAACATAGTCAAGACAAAGTATATTTCTCTCAGTTTGAAATGCTACAACGATCGTAAAAGAATGCGAAGAAGTGTGCATAAATATTCGGTTGATGGAAATATGATCGTACATTTTCTTCGCAAATCTCGAACAGAACAGAAAGAAATTCGGTCCACTGGAGTGTGTCGAGATTTCATTTGTATGTGACCCAGGTTATGTAAGTAAGCATTGTCCAATTCAAATAATCAAGCATCGGGAATTTGAGCTGTATCTACGTTTACTTATGACCAATATCACCAGCAGATATTTTCAATAGAAAAACACAATTCTGACGAATAGTATTTGTCTATTTCACACCACCTGCAGTTGCTGACATGTTTCTGACCTGTCACTCAAGCAGATACTGACCTGTGTCTTCAGCAGATACTGACCTGTATCTGACCTGTACCTACAACAGTTACTGATCTTTATCTCCAGCAGGTACTAAACTATATCTACATCAGATACTTACCTGTATCTCCAACAGATGCTGACCTGTAGCTGACCAGTACCGCCATCAAATACTGACCTGTATCTGACCTGTACCTGCAGCCAATACTGACCAGTATCTGATCCATATCTGCAGAAGATACTGACCTGTATCTCCAGCAGATGTCTGTGTATCAGCAGCGGCAGGGCGGCAGCCATGGACACCACCCAGATACCGGCGATGATGATACCGACTCGTCGACCGGTCTGGGAGCGACGAGCCCGCAGTGGGAACATGACCGCCACGAATCGGTCGCAGGCGATAGCGGTCAGCGTCAGCACGGAGGCCGTCAGCGCGGTCACTGTGGGTCAGGGGTCACAGGGGTCAGACTGGGGTCACAGGGGGGTCAGAGAGGTCAGATTGGGGTCATGGGGGTCAGAGAGGGGCCAGAGATCAGACTGGGGTCACAGAGGGGTCAGAGAGGTCAGACTGGGTCACAGGGGGGTCAGAGAGGGGTCAGAGATCAGACTGGGGTCACGGGGGGCTAGAGAGGTCCGACTGAGGGACAGGGAAGGGTCAGAGAAGTCAGATTAGGGTCGGAAAGGGGTCAGAGATGTCAGATTTCGACCACTGGGGGATCACAGAAATCAGACTTGAGTCACAGATGAGGCTATATACGGTCAGAAAAGTTACAGCAAAGGTCACACGAGGTCATGTTGGAGTCGCAAAAGGGGCCACACAACGTCAGACTAGAGACACGCCAGATGCCATCAGCCATGCGAGAACAAATTACAGGAAAAATGCCACACGAGGTCGGAGAGGCCTGTCGCTGCCACTTCAAGTAACAAGTCACGCAAAGTTCAGAATGACGATACAGCAGATGTTGCAGATGTTGAATGATGCATTTTGCAAGTAAAATGAAAAAAGAAACATCGTTTTGAATTTGACCAGTAGCAGAAGTGAATAAGCAAAGATTTGCATTTGTACGTGGACTTTGTGTTAGTTTTCCATTAACTTCGAAAAGTTGACATTTCAAATCATGTGACATAGCTGAAACTCACTTCTAAACTCTTTACCATTTTTCGGCATTCAATATTGGTATACTCGTATGTAGAAGCCATCTTGCATGATAACATATTCATGACAAAGCATAGGCGGCGGAACGGGGAGGGCACCGGGGCACCGTGCCCCCCTTTCTTTGGTTTTGGCATTTTAACATTAGCCCTATGGACGTTGCATGGAAAGAATGGGACCAAAAGTCGGCAGTGCCCCCCCCCCTTAATTGAAGGTGTTCCGCCGCTACCGTGATAAAGAACACCCGTGAGCCTGATTTTGTTGTCCCCGGTCAAGAAGTGGCACGGTGTGAGGCCAGACTCAGGTCAGAGGCCTCCGGACGCTCCCTTACAGCTTCCAGCGACAAATGCCGACATCTCACAGAGCTAAGAGAGACACTACCTCCTGTGAACCCGCTCAGACCGGGGGATAGAGCCGCGGAAACGACCCGCACACACGCCACGCCTGGATACAGTGGCGAGGGTCGGGGATCTCAGAGACTGTGGCTCCACGCGCTGAAACGAACAGATGATTGCAATTTGCAATCATCTACCGTGAAAGCCTGGAAATGAGTTGTATTGAGTCTTCGAATTCTGTAGCTACAAAGACCGACGAACCTGCGCGATAGCTAATGGCACCAAGGCAGTTTAATGCTCGCAGATTAGTAGTTGCTATGAGGGCTCGAGCCAAAAGCTAGAAAACTATTGGACACAAGGCTGGTTGGAAATAAGAAAATGTTAGAATTGTGTTTTCTAACGACAAAATAGCCTGTTCTGTTTAGTCTTCACAGCTGCAATATAAAAAACACTTGAAGCATTTTGCATGCGTAGCAAAAACTTAGTTTAATCTTACTTTATTTATTTTCTACATTTATATTTGAAGGAAATAACAGCAATGAAACTAAACTTTCATGTTTCCAGCGCTAATATCCAATTCCAGAACTCCAACTCAAAATCATGAACACTATTTGGTTCTGATGGCGCAATGCCGAAAGCTTCTCGAAAAGTTGCTTTCTTTGGAATCTGGAATATTGGTACTTTTAGGGAACATGAGAGCTAGGGTAATTTTCTTACGATCTATTTTGGCTCTGCTCAGTTTTCTTTTTTCATCGTCCATTTTAGAATATGCAACTACCTAAGTAAGCTACATAATCCATGCTCCATGCCTGGGCCCTCTTCTTGTCATATCCATTTCTAAAAGAGGAAGGATAATGGCAGTGAAGAGTGACCTTGCACTCCACTGATACCAGCTACTTCAATGGATCAAAGATCCGTCATTCATGGAACAACAGAAAACTGATTGCATACTGTCCATCCTTTACTATCCGTTCATCCTTGTCAGTTCGAACGAACAGGCCATGTGATTTCGACACATCAAACCACATATGGCGAGGAAAATCAAAATTGATGGATATCCGACTGCCTAAAGACGCTCGATCTGTCTAGGAAGAGACTGAGACGGAACGGACGTCTGTTTTCTATTCCAGACACGAACGGACCACGAGTATAGCGAGTGGCTCAGTCAGGAATCAGCACAACAGGGTACTTCCCAGCAACTGTCACGAGCTCAGAGCCCCGCGGGACACTCATGAGACCCATTTCGTGAAGCCTGCCAGAATGAGACTTTCTGTAAGCAGTGGTATAATGCTAGTTTCTTCGCGTCGGACCAGTCCACCCGGGCTTCTAAATGTGATGGCTGTGCCTGTAGTGAAGCTGTGTACTAGCTAGGGGATGAGGTCAGTGACTCCACGCTGTCGCAGCTTAAATATTTCAGCGATATAAAAAATTATAGAACCTCAAGGGGAGCAGGTAAATCACCATGGAACATACGCATTGTCAATTCACCCGCGAGCTATAAGTTTTGCTTTGTTTAGTTCTTATTGAACTAGTTTCGTGTGCTGAGCAAATAAACGTCTTTGAAGTCTTCGTTTGCTGCTCGATTAGTTAAGTCTACGGGAATTTTAACTAGTATGTCAGTACAAAAACACTGCCGGAAGCCCCAGTAGATTCCATAGGTAAACATAACGGTTGGATGAAGGCTGTTTCGATGCAATAGCAAATTGAAAAATAAATAGAATACAATTGTAAAAAATGATAATGTTCAGCATCGGAATTTTTTTATGTATAGCAATGCCTATCAGCGATTTTCCTCAGCTTTCTGCATTCAACAACTGCAATAAAGCGCAATGGAATATATTTCTTCTAAGGATTTACTTGGGATTTCACCTTTGTCGTTTCACAAAACTTGACTTTGCTTGTTGTTGTTGTTTTTTTTGTACGCAATAATGTTGCAGAGTACACCTACCGTACCACCTACCGCAATAGGCGATTGCATATCCATTTGATTCGCAAGTGCTTCATAATTTCATATATCACTTGACATTGAGCAATATCCTTTGTTCCCCCGGTACTAAAGAAGTCAGTGAAGGCAAACTGACTATAGCCCGAAGCATTTTGACAAGTGGAAGAAAGTTGCTAGCGCTTATTCAAAACGCAAACCGCAACCGCGCCAAACACTTCCGATTCCTCTCAGCGCAAACCGTCTCCCGTGCGAGCTTCGGACATTCGGGAAACGCCGGAGCATTGATTTCCCTTGGGTGAAGCGCGAGGAATCGTCATTGGCCAGAAATGCGTGACATACGTCGGGGGGAGCCAAGAGTCATCACGATGTGTGATTCATGTCTGTCCCAGATTAGACCCGAGCAGAGCTGACCTTCACAGAGGCACTTTGGTCTTTCACGTGAAAATCCTGAGACCTTGACCCGCGTTTATGCAACATTGTGATTGCTATGCATCGAAAACATGAGCATTGTCGGGTTGTGCTACGTGCAATATGGCATATAATCATAGTATTTGCCACGTCTACTCCGTAAAATTAGTCAAGAATTCCTCGTGAGATTGCCTATTACGGTGGAGGAGTCGTGATTTAATTTGTTACTACGCTCGAAATAAGGCTCTCATGACTAGCAGGGTGTCCGGTTGGGGAAGGTGTCATGTCTTTGTACAGCCATCAAGTGAGACAGATTGTGTCTATGTGAATCCACATCATACTTCTGCATAGCTACTCTCTCTCTCTCTCCTGCATTTCGTTTCTCGATCGGAAGGATTAAGAACGCGCCTATACAGCACGGACTTAATTCCGTTAGCGTAGGCTTTGCTTCGTCAGTCTACTTTTCAAAACAACCTAACCTGTTAACCCGCGCCCGGCTGGGGGTCCTGGATTTCCACGCCTTGCTGGGGGGGGGTGTTTGAACACCCCCCCTTGTAACTCGGCTCCTGGGCCACGTAGCGATACGCGGAAGGCGGCGTTCGAAATAGCGTCAAAAATAATGACGAAATCACTTCGGTCAATTTTTTGGTCAGGTCAAAGGTCAGGTCACCAGAGGTCATTGAAGGCAAAATTTCGCCGATTTCCAGGTTGAATATCGAAAATTTCCAAGAAGCCAACGCATAACTCGGGAACCAATAGAGCTACAGCGCCGCGGAAAAGCGCATTCGATAGCCCTATTAACGCCCTTTCTGAATAATTCTCTCAGATTCGACCTAAAGTCAACGGTTTTGCCTGCAGGGGGCAAAAACTGCAAAAATAGCCGATTTTTTCGGAAACAGTTTTTCGGCAATAACTTTTGACCCAAGCCTTGTACGAGCTTACTTTTACCGGCATCGTGTTCCTCTCGTCAAGACGCATCGAATGAACTATAACTTGACCTTGAAAGGTCAACTTGAAAATTTGACCTCAGGTCAAGGTCATGACCTGACCGGAAAGGGTCATGTTGCATATCAGTCGATCCGTATCGTCGAGCTGAACACATCTAAGGCGTTTTCATCGCTCTAGCGTGCCTCTATCAAAAGTTATTTGCGAAAAACTGTTAGATACCATTCGTGACCTAAGATGACCTCAGGGCATAAACAAGGGTCACGGACACCATTTTCATGTTCAGTGTGTCTAAACCACTTGTAATTCAGTGTTTGGGAGTGTTTATAATGTCTTTCGTCCAAAAGAGGCGCATTTCAATTTTCTCCCATTGACTTATAATGGGGAGGTCGCAAAATTGACCTGACCTTAGGTCACCGGTATTAAAATTTCGAGATATACATTTTATAGATACTGTTAACCTTATCAATCGCTGAAAGTTTCAAAGCGATCGGTCACTCGGTGTAGCTATGACAGACATTGAAACTTTTTATGAGGTAAGGTTACTTCAAGTGACCTGGTGACCTGACCTTGAATGACCTTGGTCTGAAATTTTAACAACATGTGTAGAATTGATGTATGATAAGGTGTACCAAAAACGGCGGCGCTCCGCGCCGCCGTTTTTGAGATATTCGCGAAAAACCACAAGGGGGGGGGTGTTCAAACACCCCCCCCCCCCAGCAGGGCGCGGGTTAATCTTTTAAAATTCGTGTCTGACCTAACCATTCGTCTTTCTGGTTACTAGCTACACTGGCATGTTTCAAATTCAATTACAGAATCCTTTTCAAGTCGGAAGTGCTTGTCGTGACATCGGATATGATGAGGTTGTAAGCTGACAGGTCACGCACGGGCCACGCACATTTTCAGTCACGGATGAGAGGAAAGTGAGGCGAGGGGCAGAGCTCCTTTCATAATGTGACTAAGTGCATACAAGCGTGCGTTAACTTAAGTTGGTTTGCAAACGCGTGCCATACATTAAATATCAGAGGATTGTGGTTTTTCACAAGAATGTTTACAATTCTTGTAAGAATGTTTACAAATGAAGGTGACGCAATTGAAAATGACTGGAAAAGTTACAGCCGACGAGGTAAACAAGAGCAGATACGGTTATTTTCAATTTTGCTTTTAGGTGATGGAGATTTCACAACCACTACTGTTTTTCATACAACCTTTCAATAAATAAGTTTATTGAAACGATTAAATGGACTGTGTGCTTTCTTGCGCCTTAACCGATAATCAGCAAGATACATTAAATGAAAATATGGCACATGCAGCGGCGTTAATCGACATTCACACCGTCCTGTTCCCATACAAGTTGAGCCAGTGCGTTTGAAGCAAAATTTACGGGACATATAGCATTGAGTATCCACCACCGTCGAACTTATGAACTTAGTCTCTTATGAAAGTGCTTATGAACGAGTCTCTCGAATGGAACATGGCCAGACCCAGGACTGTAAGCGCATTATGAGATAATGGCATTACTGTACGGACAAATCGAATTCCGGTTGATATTGAGAGCATTCAAGTTTCAACGAGAGTTTACTTTTTTGGAACTCAAATCGCAAACGCAATATAAAACTAAAACACTTCTCCATGCAGTAAAATAATCAGAATATGAAAACATGAACATCAACCCTTCTGAGAAAGGCACACATATTTTACTCAATTATGTGGTCTTGACAAAGCTCGCTCGCAGTTGCTGAGCGCGGATGACTGATTCCTGCGCGATGGTAGAGTCCAGGAACATCATTGTCCCGCTTCGTAAATATTGCTATTGTATCTGGGAGATAGTAACTGAAACTAAAACAATCTATAGCGGCCATCTTTTGCGGGACCATCAACCATGGAAGCTGCTAGTGGCTTTAGAGGGAAGCTTCAGTTCGTGGAAAGCTTCTTTCTCTTCGATCAAGCCTCAGGGCAATATGAAACTATTCAGTAATAACCGCTATCGCCTCGAGCTCGTGGTATTTCTGGTATACTCTGACGCAAATCCAACTTTGGTTAATGCCCCGACTTCCCGGGGTCAGCAAAGGGGCAGCCAATGGTCGCCTTGAGATTTTACGTCACTTGTGACCATGGCAACACAATAGGCGATCTTTGGCGATCGGAGACGATTTAATGAAATCTACGAGCGTCGTGTGTTGGCGTAGTAACACAAAATGCTGCACGGATAAACCTGCTAAGCTGCTGCTAAGATAAACCGCCTGTCTTCAAAGCTCGGCTGTTTTAAATCACTTCTTCACAATTGCATTGTTACAACTTCCGAGCAGCAAACTATGCCTTAGTTTCTCAGACAGATATGCTACTCGGGGTATATCTATCTCAGAAAAGTATTTCTAGACCTGTCTCCAGCTACTTTACCCGACCTGACCGCTCTTTATCTCCGGCAGTCGCAGATGCGCCATTTTCCTCCTCGGTAACTGATTTCCTGCGCAATATGTCATCCTGTTGCTGACTCAGGGCGCTGGGGTCGCGTCGAGTCGCGTCGGGTTCGCGTCTATTTGCGCCGATTCAGAGCAGAGGGTCGCTCAATCAGAACAAAGAATCTCTGACTCGGACCAGAGACTCTTAATCAAACCAGATAATTGCCGACTCAGAGCAGAGAATCGCCCATCTAACTTCATCAGAGAATCTCTGACTCCGGGCAAAAAATGTATGACTCAGAGGAGAATGTTGCCGATCCAAACCAAAGAATCGCCTATTCAGAGCAGGAAGACACCGATTCAGACAAGAAAACCATCGATTCAGAACAGAAAATCACCGATTCAGAGCATAGACTCTCCGAGCGCCCGCCGAACGGCGACTGTGAGCCGCGGTTCGACGTCTGAACGTCAGCCCAATAATGTCATCAGGAAAACGTGATGCTATCAGGAGAACACGATAGAGCCATCAGGACCAGATATATCTGACGCCGCCGGTCAATACGGCGGTACAAAATCCCCTCTCTGGGACTTTTTGCTCACAGAAGGTTTGTTCATAACATGTGGGTAGAAAATACTGCGCGTGGGATCATGACGTCAATTGTCATGAAGAGATGTAAGACTCCAAGAGAAAGCGAACTAAAAGGGTAGCTTATGTCGGGGCTAGAGAAAATGGAAAGCAAGACGGTAAGCCTATTTGCCTGTGACAACCCCGTCATTCTCATCTTCGTAAATATACACATTAAACTCCAAACAGACGTAGCCCACCACAATATCACACTCAATTCCTTTTTAGCAGCTATTCAACTCACTATGCCACCAATATAGGTCTGCGAACACTAATGAAACATGTTGAACGTGCAGCGTTCGCTGTGTCAATTGACGCTTCAAACTACTATAGAGCGCGCCAGAATCGACAGATTTATCCACGTAATCGACATCATCCCCCGATCTGGTCAGCTGTAAAATGATCGCCCATCAGCAGGCTAACAACGCTTGGAACGTGACCTCGCGCTGCCCGCAGGGCGCGAGGTGGAGCTGCGTTTGACCTCGGGGTGGCTATCGACGCAGTTACCGAAATATTGTGGTATCGGGGCTGTTTGAGGGATCGGAGGCCGCAGGGAGATGGTGAGTAGGGATTTGATTAGTGTCGAATCGTTAAAATGATGAGCAGAGTTCTTGCAAAAAGTTTTGAGTGCATAAATGGTCTGGGGTTTGCAAATGTCAAAAGCACTCCCCAGCGATGAGAGGATCAAGAATGTCCTAAGCTTCATATTCCATCCTAAAATCATTACATAGAACACACTCCTCCAAAATCATCATCATTCTTTATTTACTTACCGTACATCATCTCCACACTCACTCAAACACCACACCCCATCACTCTCTCCTTTCCGTAAAAATCCCTCCCCTCTTTCCTTTCCATCAAATGTATCCCACATTTTCCACATGAACCCCATTCCCCAGCCAGTATACTCACTCTGCGCGAAACCGTTGAAGCGACACCAAAAGGCGCCAAGTGGGTAATGCCGGTGTCTGGATATATCTTGAACCAGATGAACCCACATGCAGAGTAGAAGTATGCTGATGTCGGCGACGGCTAGGTTGACAAGATAGGCAGTGATCGCACTGCGCATGCGTCGAGATGTGGCGACAATGACGATGACGCCGACATTTCCCACCAGAGAGCCGATGAAGACTGCGGCGTAGAAGACGATCTGCCAAACGAAATGACATGGTCAGAAGACAGTATGTGACACTATGACATTTGTGACAATGTGTCAGGGACGATGGATCAAGCAAGGTGACAATGAATCAGAAGACATTTTGCCATATGATGTGACAATGAGCCAAAAGGCGATATGCGTGGCGTTTGACAACGTGGCAGAAAACGATTTAAGATCAAACAAGGTGTTAGAAAAAAAAAATATCAAAGAAGACGATTGTGACGGCGATTGCTACAAGGTCAGCTTGCTATCGACGGACTTCTGGTTGCATTATTTTAAACATGTGCGTAGGGGCAATTCATAGTTATTCACTTTACGTCTACTTCTACATGGTGAAATGACATCAACCACATTACATATCGCAGAAGCATTCGTCTATGGCGAGCCTACTCGTAAATATACCCGGAAGAAACCATACATGATGCTATAATAATGATACCAAAATAGAAATTCTGACGCCCGCTCTATTTCAAATTGTTTTTGTTTCCCTGTCCGGGAAGCATTCAACTCACGCGACCATTTTCACACCCGCTGAAGAAGGCATAATTTCGTTAGAGCATTGAGGAATGATAAGCAGCGTAATACCCCCAGTTTTATAACTTTTTCAAAGAACATTTCACACATATGCTAACACAGCTCGTTCACAAATGAATGAACATTCACAAAGAGAAACATGAGATAAGGCGAATTTGAGCCGAAACAGACACATAAAACTGCACTCCGGTATGCAGGGATTAGACTGATGGCGAGATATGACGTCATATTGTGTCGCTGTGTTGCGGAAAGGATTTTCAAATATTTCAGAACCCGTCCTCATTGCTACATTTGCTTTGTGTGGCGTACAGAGCAGAACTGGTTGCAGCGGTCTAGGTTATGCGCGTATAAATACCCATTTCCTTTATTTAGTTGCGCATTAACCAATAGTGGCATGTGATGTCACAAGTCACCTAAACCTCATAGGATTTACCCAAATACAGAGTTTTGTAGCTTAGCAAAAAAGCTAATATCGGCTAAATAAACAACGAACGGGGCAATCGTCTCGGAATAGTACAGTGATGAGGCGAGGGGGAATGAGCATCAGTTTTCAATGCGCTTAACCGAATGCACCGCGTTTGCCGCAGTGCGCCACATTTGTCCACATGCGCTATTTTTGCCCCAAATCGCACAACTTTGTCAAATATGGTCCGATAAAGGTGCAATTCGTTGGAAGGATGCATGGCATAACGACAGGAATAAATGCACCACTTTTGTCGCAATGCGCCACATTTGTCACTAGGCGCCATTTCAACCAAATACGATTAAGAATAATAAAATGACACGAGTAGGAGAAGGGTTAGGAACTCTTTTTTTAGTTAATCAGTTAATCTGATAGTCTGTGACCTCACATGACCCAGTGGTAGTGGTAGGTGTAGGTGTAGTGGTAGTGGTAGTAGTATTGGTAGGGGTAGTGGTAGGGGTAGTGGTAGGGGTAATGGTAGGGGTTGTGTAGTGGTAGGGGTAGTGGTAGGGGTAGAAGTAGGGGTAGTGGTAGGGGTAGTGGTAGGGGTAGTGGTAGGAGTAGTGGTATGGGTAGAAGTAGTAGAAGTATGGCCCAGCTGCCGATCCAATGTGACGTGGTAACCTATACGACCTGGCCTGACCGAAGGTGACATGGCCTGACCCAGTGTGACCAAGGATGACCAACTTGACCTGACTTGACCCCGTACGACCCAAATTTCATCCAACTATGCCCTCAGAATAGTTATCATGTTCAAAAATTTCCTCCGCACGTTCCCGTCCATATTTCTGCTTCCAGACGACAGATCAATTTAAATCAAATACCATTCGAAAGCAAATTGGCTGCTGCCGCATTTTCTGGCTACGCCGCGAAGCAAGTGGCGCAGCCGCTTGCGTAAACACTAGTTGCATGCCAGAGCCATGAAGTTCTTGATGTCACTTTGTGGGTGAAACTGTCCGTAATGAATAGTATATCCGCGGTATTGTTAAGAGGTGATTTAGTTTAGAGTGTAGAGGTGTTTAGAGGTGAACTCCTTTCCAAGGGTCAAAAGAAAGAAGAATAGAGATAGCGACAGCCGCGTGTATTCTTTCTCTTTTTTGTAGCTGTGGAAACATGGGCGGGAAGGTGAACGATGGCAACGGATTTTGGCGCCCGGTTTTCCAAGAACAAGTAAGAAGAAATGCAGCTTTTAAATAAACGAAGGAAGGTCGTTACTGATTGTACGTTAAGATGCTTTTTCTTGCTAAGCTAAAAAGTCAAAGTATTAATTAACCTGAACAGAATACGGTAAATACAACAAACTCAAGGCATCAACAGGACGCGGTGTCACAGTAGGCCTCATTTTATATTCCTAGGAGCAAGGTCGTATTGGTGACGAACAATGACTAATTGTTCAGTTTTCAGTAACCATGTGCCCATGCCAGTTCACCAGTGATTTTCCTTCCCGCCCTTGTATGCTGTTTTCGTCTGGACCCGTGTCAATCCGGTATAAAAAGATCCCAGACGTCTGATATCGGCCACACTTACTATTGCATTTACACCCAGAAATGATCCACGGAACTATGCAGACATACTCCCAAAAAACGGTGGATCGGCTCGTCCTTTACAGTGAACCGGCTTGTGTGCGCATGGTTGCATGCAAAATGCGTACCAACGCACGCAGCTCGCTTTGATTCTTTCTAAAGGGACCGTCTTACTTCACATCAAGGCTGTAGGGTTCAGCCATGCGTCTGCATCGCTGATCCATGCAGTTATGTCTGCTATCAATACATAGGCACCAATCAGACCTTTGTCATCCATTTAATTTTTCACATTATGTGCACGCAACTACAAAAAAGAGGCAAGAACCACCGGCGCAATGAACAATGCGATTTTGAGGCTTGACTATCATATTAGTGACAAAGGAAGTGTTAGACAACTGATGCCGTGGTGTATAAACAAGGAAAACTTTTGTTTACAATGCATTGTCAACAAAGTAGCAGTCCTTGGTGGCTTAAAATAGACCGACAATGGTCGTTGACCCTTTAGCATCAATGTAGCTTCTTTAGTAGACTGACTTTGGAACAGAGCATTAACAAACGAAACTGCACTAACTCGGCTGTGCCTGACTTGGTGGATGTACTTTTCCACGTGGTTGTCCCTAAATTAGCGAAGATTGTCTCCAGAAAACCACCTATGTACCACTCTCATGTTATGCAAATGTAATCGGTTTCCCATCGCGGTGAGTGTATAAGAATAGCGTCTCAGCCCATTCAAACCGCCACTTGATCCAGTGAAGCAAAGTTAGAGCATCATATAGCATTGCACGCTTTTAGATAAGTGAAATATCTGTTTGAAACTTCGGATATTCATGCGAAGATAGTATTTTTGTTGAGAAAGGTGCCTGGCGTATACAATTGTTATTTAATTTAATATTCTTGCAAAGTTTAGATATGTTTAATGTAATGAGGACGTTACTCCAGCAGGAATCGTTTCCAGACCGGTACTTTTTGGAAGCCAAGTCGCTATTGCAAAGCAATCCATGGTGGACTTAGTGCAGCCATTACACCCCAAGAAATCTACAGCAGAGTCGCACGTTTTTTTTTTAATTTTTAACAGGTGCCAAGCAAGACGACAATTGATATAGTTCGTTTTTCTTAAGTTTGCCCCTCACTGTAAACGTCTTTTTGAACACAGCACGAGAATTGCTAGCTGAATTACTGAGAAAACTGGTTAGCGCACATTGTATTGTAGATATGAATAATATTATCAAAATAAGTTTTGAACACCGACGATTTAACGTTATGTTAAGCGCCGTGCAATTTATTTATTAGTTCAGACATAATTGCTGAGAAGTCGTCTATCCCTGTGGGGCTGTAGGTATTGGCAAATACGAGCTACGAGTCTGTGAAAAAGTAAATAAATTTGATGAAATTGATCGTCTGTGAAATCTGGTGAAATCAATGTGCGCCAACCAGTTTTCTCAGTAATTCAGCTAGCAATTCTCGTGCTGTGTTCAAAAAGACGTTTACAGTGAGGGGCAAACTTAAGAAAAACGAACTATAGTTCAATTAATATTAGTCAAGCTTAAGTGTTAATGCGTAAAAACATGTTAAGGGTGGTAAAGGTATAACCAAGAGTAGCCATAGCAACAAAAGTTTGCGAAGATGAAAAAGTAGGCGATATCGTGTCGAAAATGCGAGTAGACGCTGAAAACCAGTTCGTCTGAACAATGCCGGTAGCATGATTGGCAATTTGTTTCCGGGGTTCTGTTGTTGACGTGTCCTATGTGAAATAATTTAGCACTGCCGCATCGAAACTGGCCTTTGATATCACTCTTGAAGCTAGCTTTAGAGGCAGTCAAGCGAAGGAAATGGATATTTGCTCCCGAAAGCAGCCACTTCACGTCTGCGAGAAAAATAAAGACAGCATAAAATTGCGTGGTTTATAACAATGTACCCAGCAGCGTCACGGTTCAAAGGCTCGTGAACATTACAAGCAATGACACTACATAGTGTAAAATGTAACGGGCTTGCGACGCTATGAAAATACACTTACTTGTTTCTAAAGAACATGCATATTACTTGATTTTATTGCAGCTAATTAGTGTGCGATTTTCTCGTAAGGAGGGTGCAGACCCGTATTTGGCATAGTAAATTGTGATGCACAAAACGATCAATACTGTGGTAATATGAGCACGAACACGAGCGTCTAAAATGTTGTGCGTGCGACCTGCGCTAAGCTATCAAAACTTACTATAGGCACGAGGTAAGTTATGATACCCTGGGTGGAGACCTTCATTTCACGTCTAGTTAGACGCGTCTAAGTCTTAGACGCGTCTAGCTGGACGGCGGCGGCGTCTATCTGGCGACGGCTAACTTTAGACACGTGTAGCTTGGGAGTCTCCGTCCAACAGTTAGACGCCAAGTTAGACGCCAACTTGGACGTCTGCTCAGTTAGACGCCACTTGGACGCCAGTGGAAGTCTCCATCCCCCCTTTTCCTTTCCGAGCATTTTATCCCCGTTATAGTTGAACTATAACTTGCAGTTCTATAAGGCATATGTTGTGCCTGACAATAAAATGACGCGTTTGTTACATCATTTTTTACCTTTACCGTAGTTATGCTAGGAGCCGGATTTTGTGTTCCTTAGAGTTAACATAGTGTAATAAATAAGGTTATTTATTACACTATGGAGTTACCTTAGTGTATGTCTAGTACCAACAAACCACAGACATATAACATGAAAATGCTTACAAAGTTATGCTGGATTCCTGAGACATGTTTTACCTAGACAAAAAATAGAGAGCTCATTGCATTAAGATTTCTTCAAGTATAATCCAGTAGAAAATAACCTATCAGTAACAGAAGTCGGTTGACAAAGTAGTCTGGCGTGGAATTTATAGACGCTGCTTCATCGGCCTCGAGTCGCGGCCACACCACGTGACCAACAGCGTGGAGACTGCCATTGAACGAACCTTAATCACGTGGCCGGTCTCCAAGGCCGGTAGTGGCGGCATGTCATTCTCGGAGAAGTTGTAGTTGCCAAAGATGTCCGTGCTGAAGTTGAGACATTCTGAGCCCTCCAAATCCGGATTCATGGCCTGTGGCAGAATTGAAACATGTCAATGATGTGATACGGAACGCTGTTTATAGTTGCGGAACATTGTTTTGGTGGTTTGTCACTAGTGTCCGTTTTATGCAGGTAGTATTGTTTGTAATATCGAACATACCTTTTTAACATCGAGCTTTTATCATGCCATTCCTTTTAGGATGTCTGATTTAGGGCTGTATTATTGTGTTGGGGTGAAAATAAAATTTGACCATAAAAACTCTCGAATAAAATTCACCGTGCGTAGCAAGCATTTTATAGAATCAACCAGTGAACGTAACCTGATTTTAACTATTGATTTCCCACGGTAATACCCCTTACTGCGACACATGACGGTACAAAATGAAAGGTAGGGTGGTGTAGCACGAAGTCATGATAGCGAGTTACTGCCGTGTCCAGTTTGGTGGGAACACATTCCACTCACCCATATGGCAGCCATTTATTTGAACGATCGAGGTCGTTGGCAGCACTTATGGAAGTGCCTGATGTGAGAGCTGGACAACTATCTGGGGTGTCCCAGTTTGGAGTTAGTTGAAATTTAATGCCAAATGAATGGTATAAGTCGCATTATGTCGCATTAGCGAAAATATGACCGGAAATTTGATTCGTTCAAGTGGTTAGTGAGTCGCTGTGATCTGATGCTATGGTCAGACGTAAAACAAACGGCTGCGTTCTGATTTCAATAATAGGTACCAGTATAACGCCTTTTGGGGCGACTAACGGAGCGAGCGAGAGGGTGGGCCTTGCACGTGCGAAATTGCGAGGGGGTACCTCCAACTGATTTGTGCACGGCACCCTACTAACCGCTCTCCAGCGATGTGCCAAATTTGGGCACAATCGGCCCAGCCGTTCTCGAGATCTGGAAGCGGCACCCTGCACGTGCGCACGTGCAAAATGGGTCCCAACTGACTTGTGCACGGCACCCTACTAACCGGTCCCTAACTGTGTACCAAATTTGAGCGCAATCGGTCGAGCCGTTCTCGAGACCTGGAAACGACCCCTGCACGTGCGCACGTGCAGCAGCACCCCCAACTCTGGCACATGGATATGCAGTGCCTAGTGGGTGCCTACCTTCATGCCAACTTTCAGCGCAATCGGCCAAGTAGTTACCGAGATATTGCAACAATTACAAAACTGACACCTCTTCGTTTTGCACGTGGCACGTGCATAATGGGTCACCCACGTGCATCAGGAATAGTCCAATACTTGGTAGAAGGAATGAAGCTACCCTACAAAAATTACCGCATGTAAATCGGTCAAGTAGTTGCTGAGATATAAGCCTCGCAAAAGCGTCCGCACGGCCGGCCGGCCGGCCGGCCGCTCATACTCAGAAATTTCCGTTAACCCTCGCCCCGTTGGGGGGGGGGCCATTTTGGCCCCCCCCCTGTGGTTTTTCCTGAATAGCAAGAAAACGGCGGCGCGCAGCGCCGCCAAATTTTTAGTACCTTCCCGGGCATCAATTTGACACCTTCACACCAAATTTCAAGTCTTAGGTCACCTTAGGTCAGGAGTTATTGAGGTCAAACTGAGGTCATGTTCGAACAAAAATGAGCAAAAAACATGCAATCTTGAAACGCTCACCAAATCTACAGTTATCAAGCAATTTCAAAGTTCTTTATATGGTCTAGTAGACAAAACGCGGCGCTACAAAACTGCTATCTCGGATTTTCAAAATTTTTGGTTTTTGACAAAAAAAATCAAAAAACTGATTTTTTTAGAAAAACTTTGTAAAAATACAAAAATTTTCTGAATGTCAAAAAAACCGGAATATATGTGATAGTCCCAGCGCTCTTCTATATACTTACCAAATTTCAGATCGATATCTCGTTTTTTGGCCAAGTTATAGCGAAAAAACTGTTCAAAAATGATGACGTCAAATTTTTGAACTCAATTTTTAGCAATTCTAGACCACGTACGGCAAAACAAAGACCACCATTGAACTCCCCGTGACGAGCTGCATCGATTCGGTACCCATTTTATGCAAAAATATTAACTTTGAAATTTGACCTAATTTGACCTGACCTTGACCTGACCTTGACCTGACCTTGATCAAAACGTGATCTAAGCTGGCCCCAAAGGCTGCCTGACCCATATAATCGCATTTGTCATGTAAAATGGACCATAAAACATGTATCACACGACACTTTCATATTGTGACCCCCCCGTGACCTGACCTCTGTGACCTGACCTGGTATCAGTGACCTCAAATAGCAAAATATGTGTTTGAAGAACATTTCCCCATCGATGATTTTCAATGAAATGCATTTTACTCGATTTTACAACTCATTTCTTGAAGTGCCTGTAAACGGTGAAAATTGGACCTTTGACCTGACCTGTGACGTCATCGGTTTGACCTAGGTCAATAAAATTGGGTCACAAGGTAGTTCCCCGTTGGGGCTATCCAACGCCGTTTACCGCTTGTCGCTATGTTGCGTGGTTCTCGAGATCTTAGGGGGGGCCAAAATGGCCCCCCCCCAACCGGGCGCGTTGCTCGGCAGAGCCCAACGGGGCGCGGGTTAATCTAAGGAAAGACTACGCTCGCTTCGCTCGCTCCGTAATAAACTGTTATAGGCTACACACTTAGACGGTCATTATAAGTTTTATAACTTTCATACGCCATAAAATACACATATAAATCCTAAGATGGTGACTTAAAATGGTTGTCATTGATTAAATAGCAAATGTGTACAGTAAATTTAACTCTTACGTGAGCCGAAATTGAGGCATTGACCAGTGCTGCAGGTGGACATGTTGTTATAGTCAAGGCTGATTGGAATGGAACTTGAAAGAAAATCACATTTAGGTTGCCAAGTTGTTTGCTAATACAAGTTTGCTACAAAGTGCAAACTTTTTCCCTATTATTTCACTTCAATTCTTCAAATTTGTCAAGCCTGCTACAGTGCGCCTTTCTGTGGTATGTAGGTCTTCTGAGCGAATTCAATTTGACCAGAGTTTATCGGTGAAAACATTCTGAGTTCTGGGGGCTTTATGCTGAACGCAGTTCACAATCTGAATCGGGGGTCGCGGCTTTAACCCGCGCACCGACGGGGGGGGGCGGATATCCGCCCCCCCTGAGGTTTTTCGCGAATAGCGGGAAAACCGCGGCGCGTAGCGCCGCGAAATTTGGTATGACTATAACCTCATCAATTTTACACATGGTGTGCAAGTTTGAACCTCCTACCTTTTAAGGTCAGGTCACCAGGTCACTTTGAATGACCCAACCTAAAGTCACTTTTTTGCAACTTTGTCACCGTGCCAGAGCTACAGTAGATGTCGGAGGCCTTTGAAAGTCGCAGGATATTATTAGGTCATTAGTAGCTACGATTTGTATATCTCGGAATTTTGATGTCGGTGACCTAAGGTCAGGTCAATTTCGCGACCTCCCCATTATAAGTCAATGGGGGAAAAATCAACTCCCTGTTTTTACCACTAAAACGGGTCGGAATGGCCCCATATACCATACATGACTTCATATACGATCAACCTTCACTACCTTGAGTTCTGTTTTGCTGTTGGGCAGCTGTGAGGTCATGTGACGTCATCAAAGGTCACCAAAGGTTTTTGGCCAATAACTCCGTACAGGAACAAGATACAGACGCGTGGATGGTCTCATTGTGTTCAGCTCGTCAAGACGCATCGAATGATATACATGATGACCTCGAGGTCACGTGACCTGAGGTCAACCTTTGACCTTGACCTTTCGAGGTCAACATATATATCATTCGATGCGGATTGACGAGAGGATCACGATGATGCCCTTAGTTTGTTCCTATCTTGACTAATTCGAAAGTTATTCGAGAAAAACTCTCTCCATATCCAGCGCCGCCATTTTGACTTTTTCGCCCCTGTGACGTCATCTTTGACCTGACCTGAAAATGACCTTAGTAAAAATTGTAGATCTTGGCCGTGCGTATCCGATGCCGTTTACCGCTTGTCGCTATCTTGCTTCGTTCTCGAGATCTCAGGGGGGGCGGTCATCCACCCCCCCCCCCCCGTCGCACAGTGTGGCCGAAGACCAGTTTAGCGCGAATTTAATCCCAGCGCCGCTCGGATCCACTGAAAATGGTTCTCTGGTTTCAAAACTGACGTTTACCCCTCACCGGACCTATTGGTTTTCAAAATACCCCCCTTCGCCGGCCGAAGGGGGGGGGGTACGACCCCCGTCGCTGTTTCGCCCCTGATGAAGCTAGAGCCTCGCGGAAAAAACGAGCGTGTGTGCCGTTACGAGACGCAGCAACTGGTATCCGATTTTAAGGTCTCAGGTTAACCTGTGACCTCTGAGTTCAGGTCAAGTGGCCCAAGGCACGGATTCGTTTTTTTATTAATAACTTCGCGAAAAAATGCCGCAGAGTCGCAATTTTGGCATCATCGTGTTCGCCTCGCTCAGGTGCGTCGAATGGTATACTTTTTGTTCGGCTGAAGTCAACTTAACACGCGCAGTGGAAGGGTTGCGAGTACTACGCCCAGTGGAAGGGGGGGGGCGGATGTCGCCCCCCCTAAGATCTCAGCTCCCACTGGAGCTAGAAACACGAAATTGGAGGGTAGGTGGGGGCCATGGGTAACTCTGTTGTGTGTGAATTTCATGACCCTAGGTCAATATCTTCAAGGTCAAATGAGGTCAAATGTGGTCAAATCTGCCATATTAGCGACTTTTTTGCGTTTACACGCCCATAACTGAAAAAGTTACCGGCCGATTTTTTTGAAACCTTCACTATACGACAGAGCAAACATTTGTGAGTATGTATGGTGAATTTCTAGATAATCCAACAATAAATATGGCAGTTAGAAGCCTGCTAAGGGTAAGATGTCGCCGGCTGAAGCGGCATCGGCCGACGCGGGAAACGCGGCAATCACAATTTTGTGTTTACACACTCATAACTCAAGTTGTTACCGGCCGATTTTCAAAATTATTTGACCATATGATTGCCTGTACATTTCTCAGTCTTCTCACCGAATTTGACGCGAATCTAATATAATCAGCGG